GCATCAAAATCCTTATTGGTTTACGCGATTATGCAGCAATTTTTGAAGAGTGCGGTCATTGGATTTTCGGTTATCTTGTGTAAAAATCGGCATGAGCATAAGCGTAGTATTGCCTAATCTRACCTATATGGCGAGAAGTAATAATTGACATTCGTTCATAATATTGGGTATATTTTTATCGGTAAACATGTCATCCATAACCGTGGCAGATATCACGGTCGGCGGAGATCCTGTTCTTATAACAGTAAGTCCAGAATTTCACTGGCGAAATTCGGAATTCCTTAGCCACCCATTWGTGATAAATGTACACCCACGCTACGCCGCCGTTTTCGACCAATAATATGATATTATTRCTATCATCTAATATTGTATTGTCATCTCGTTATTATTGTTGAACAATGAGTGGTGTATGCATTAATGGTAAATCTATATGTAACGATATTGTGTAGGTATTGTTACTGTATTATATTGTATTATTATGACAGCGGACTCGACGGCGCAGTGTGTTATTTTTCCGCCCGGCCGGCCGATCGGGTGTGCGAATCGCGATTGTAGAAAAATCGCCCGACGCCATCGGATGTTTCGGAAATAGTTGTGCACCGATTATTCCGAGAATCCGCACGCGGTCGTTTGTGCAATTTTCACCGAACTACAAGTACCGAAATTCCTGCATAATGCTGCTGGAATTCCGTGGCGCGACGATCATCGTGTAATAATAATAAATTAACAATAATAATAATAATAACAATGCCATTATATTATTATTATACAATGGCTATAAACCGATATCGGGATTCGTAGCAATAAATGCATACAATTATAACGATATGTCTGAAAAACGAACGCTTTAAAGATGTTTTGCGTAAATGTGGTCCGTTCAATAATCACACCGAGACGAGATCCGCATACGAGATTACGTCATACGACTTACAATCAAAAATAAATGAAATTTTTTTTTTATTGATTATAAGCCCGCGGTGACTATTGCGAGAAAATTATGGACATATACAAATCGTTATAAAACAAGAGGTACACTTGGATTATATACTAGTTGAAAGTACAATGAGCTAGTAATGATGTTAAATCGTGTTGARAAGATTGGTGGTAATGATCAATTTTACTGAGGCGGCAATTGAATTGGGGACATGACATTTATTTTCGCATACYTAGTCAATTATTGCAATGTTTGAAGGTGATGCGGGAACTAGGGAGTAGCTAGAGAAAATCTGCTTACGTRAGAGTGGTCGTTTTAAATATTTAAATGTGTAAAATTATTATAGCACTATGTCGGTTGATAATAAAACTACCGTATTGGTCGTAGCCATTCAATTTGTTCTAAAATATTATATTATGCTCATTCGGATAACACAATTCACTGTGTATGTGTAATGTGTATACATGGATAATAATATTTTAATCCACATATAAAATATATTGCACCTAAAATGTAACAGTTAATCAGTATAAAAATAATWATTATTTAGAATGTTCAAAGACTAACCTATCTAATTTACACATCTTAATAATAAGGTTTTTTTTTAATTGAACTGCATTGTGTTTTTTCCATGAATATGTTCATATTACACAGTTTACAGCAGTAAGTGTGCCTACATTATGTTTGCAATAATTAATTTGCAGATCATCGTTTCTTACAAACCTTATACATTATATACAATTTTAAAAAATAAAAAGTTATAATCTTAAACATTATATACAATTTTAAAAAATAAAAAGTTATAATCTTAAACATTATATACAATTTTAAAAAATAAAAAGTTATAATCTTAAACATTATATACAATTTTAAAAAGGAGTAAAGGATTATTTAGCACAAAATATGTGGATATTCTTGGACGTAATACGCTTCTGAATAACGTATTATATTTAAAAAAAAGAATGTTTATTTTTTCGTTTTAATTTGAATTTAATTGAGAGCAAACGGTGAATTAATGTAGTTATATATTGAATAGAGAAAATCGTGTTGTGATCAATATATGATGCGTTATGTATAACAATGATTAATACAAAAAATCGTTTTCATAGAAAGAAAAAAATATTGATTCCATTTTCAAGTCTGAATTCTAAACATTTAAAATCCTCATTACTGCGGAAATTTCTGTTTTCTATGTAGAAATTCATGCTTGAAACTAATTTTCAATACTGTTTTATCATCACGATTTAATTGGTATAATTTGTTGTAACATTATGCATTATTATTCATTAACGCAACATCAACAAAACGTCGAGCAACATGGCTCAATAATAACATGCTAATATGCTAATATTATAATATTAACAATATTACAATTTACAATGTGCTGTGCGTATTTTGTTTTAGAATTCGCCAAGAGAAGAACGGAGGTGCGTGGTGCCCAAAAGCACAAATAAGCAGTGAAGTTAGAGAATATCTAGAGATTGACCTGGACGAAGACCATTTGGTCACGTGGACAGAGACGCAAGGCCGATGGGGCAACGGCCAGGGACAAGAGTTCACCGAGGCTTTCACCGTCGAGTACTGGAGAAGATCTATTGGCCGATGGGTGGAATACAAAGACTCAAAAGAAAGCAGGGTACGTATATACAATTATACATTTGGGCACTTCACAAATCACAATACAGCGATACCCACTACGCGACTCTTGAACAAATTTCGTGCGGCCCACACTAAAATTGAATTATACATTCTAAAATCCAAAGATCAAGAAAGACGTTTGTGTCATAACTTTGCCTATAATAATACTCTTTCTTAAAAAAAATATCWTGTCTCATTTTATAATTCTCCACTAATTTCAGTAAACAGTTGTACATTTTTATAGTTTTAATTATTATCGTTAAAAATGTATGCATGAAGTACTATCATTTAATAGTTTCTTAAGTCAAGCTAATCAAACCATTTTATTTATCCCTCTATCTGTTGTGCTTATTGTTAAAATATCTTATACAAATCGTACAAATGTAAATAAATATGACAAAAAAAAAAAATGTACGGGGCCCGAAAGTAATTTCCAAAAATCACATTTTCATGTGGTGATTTAAATATTAACTTGAGTTATCTTGGAGAAATGACAATAATGGTCTAGTTTATTCTTTCTTATCACCATCCTAAACAGTGTACATTCCTGAAACATATAAATGTGTGTACTGTTTTAAATAGGGTTAATTCCGTATACACTTTGTGATATTTAAGCAAATATTTACAAGGACAAATAATAGTTGTTTAATTTTGACACTCAGCAAATATATTGTTTAAGATCGTCATTAAAATATACTGTATTTTGATTAAAAATAAAACTTGACCGCCATCATTACAGCGTGTTCGGAATTTCTAAGTATATATAAAAAAATAAAGATAAAAGATAATTATTACTGTTCACCTCGTAAATCGAATCGGTAAAATTATCGTATATACATAATAAATTAACCATCAAATTAGAATTTTAAAATAATTAAAATATTTTTATACAATTTTCAATGTTTGTCTAGCTAATCTATAAAACACAAGCAATACTCATGGTAATTTATAACACATATGTTATACTAGAAATTACGTAAAATAATAATAAAAAACAATTTTATATTAGCAGAATCAAGGTAATAATTTAAACTATTTGAGGTCTTGTTACATTTATTTTTAAATAACAATCGTGTGAATTACTATAATATTGTGTAAATACAATTATTAAAATCGACATGGTAAAGTTTTACAACAAAATAAATTACTGACTGGCAGTTAGAGGTTTCCAATAAAAAGTAAATTCTTGGTTAGATAGGGACGATAGGGTTATGTGTTTAAGGAGGATTTACAATGTACAATCGTTTTGGGTTTTGTATTTCGTTTTAAGGCTCAAGAGAAATAACACATTTTTGTTTTCAAGTTTCCACGGCCATAAACTTATACGGCTAGTTTGTAGTACATTTCTAGAAGTTTTCCTTCTGCCCTTCAGTCTACCTTTTGACAGTAGTGTAACTGTCATATTTGCGAATACTCTCAAATTGGTTACTGCGAAGTAAGTTTTAAGCTTCTATTTACTACATCTAAGTTCTGTATTTATATGCAAACATTTATCCCGGAGTTAAATTTCAAACCGTCTTCAAGTTTTTTCTTTAATAATAAAAAAATTAATTTGAAAACTTTGTATTTTACTTTTAAAAAAAAGAAAAAATGGTAAAGCTTTGATTACGTACTTCATTGACATAAAAAATTATTAATATTAAATTAAATTAAATATTTTAATAATCAATGCTACTTAAAAACTATTTTTTTTTTTTTAATGTCTAACTGATTACTGTAATTGTAGTTGTTGACAATTATACAGTTGTTAAAATATGATCAAATTATCTATGAAAAATATTTATTATCAAAACTTTTTTATAAATTTTAAATCCAAAATGAATATAAAATCACAATTTAAATCTCGTACACTAAAATTAAATATATATCAATATTATATTATTCATTTCATTTTTAATGASTAAAATTATTATRTTACACTGCCGCGATGCAAGCTAATGTATAAACTTAACGAAGCTGAAATAATTTCAGATAATAAACTTAAAATGGTAAATATCTATTAACATTCATTAATTAATAATATCGATAACCAAAATTCGTGCACTGATTGATCATTCAAAATATGTTTCTATAGCAGTACACCAATACATATCAATTATTTATTTTAGAAAATTTTGAATTTATATAAATTTTTAAAATGTTATTCTAGGTATTACCAGGCAATGTAAATACTTATTTGTCAGTCAATCAAGAATTGGAACTACCATTCGTGGCGAGTAGAATACGTTTCGTGCCCTTTAGCACACATCCTAGAACCGTGTGCATGCGTGTGGAGATCTATGGGTGTCCGTGGGAACGTAAGTACATTTATTTTCTATTACAAGTATAAAGTATGACGTTAATCCCAAAAGGGTTWAAATATTTGGTGATTATGTCAAAAAGAAGATTGAGTACTCATTACATTAACTTCACCCCCTAAGGGTATTTTATATATGTATACTGCCTGCCGTACGCACCGTGGTTAAGGTTAGGTTTCTCCCAAAACAATATATTAAAAAATAGTTGGGACCCTAACGATATTATTGTTACTATAATAGACACACACACATACACAACATAAATTATACACTATTATGGTTGATTGTTTCAAAATGTATATGTTTCGGAATATATAAATGTTCTTGTACCACGCGTGTGTATAGTTTCACTGCGTCCGTATAAAATCCAAAGGACGTATTGCTGTTATATCCATTACTATTTTTCAGTTAAATGAAAATGCGCGAACATCTTGTTGACTTCGATACATCAATGTCAAGTTATAGAAACGAAATTTTTTGGCGTAATAGTGATAGAAATCTTTTTGGTCTTCTCGTGTTACAATTACATTTAAATATAATTATAATCATAAACAATGTGTGAAGTGGAATTATTAACAGTAAGATTATACGCTAGTTAGCTATACGTATCTACATAAGTACTACGAATAAGTAATAACTCTAAAAATTYGTGAAATTTTATATTCTTATCACATTATAAAAAGCTGTTTATAAATAAAAATCATGGCTGCTCGGTATTATATTATTACATGGCACGTTGTTAGATATTACTATAGCAAACAGACGACCATCCAGGGGCTGTAGTCATCCCCCTTTGGCAATGTAGTATAATATAATTATGTAATTATTTATGCAATAAATAATTTAAACGTCTTAAAATCCAAAATTTTTAAATATTTTTAAATCAAAATTTCAATACTGTTACCTATCAAGTCATATCCATTATGGTATTCATAATTCTTTATGCACTAAATTATTACATTTAAATATACATACAAAGTTTTTTCGAAAAAAATGAGTCCCTCCCCCATTTTTGGGGATCTGGGACTGATAGCGAATGAATACCAACAGGTTATAAAATTCTAAAACGACTCATCAGCATTACCTATACTAACTGGTTATTAATAATCAACACTGTAGATAAAATATAAATCGGTACATTATTATATTTTAAATAATATTATAACATACTCCGTGATATTGTCTTTACCTCGAATCACGTCACGCATTATTATAGTAATAACTTCTACTCCGGGCGTGTAATCCCTTTATATAGTCGCTTCTTGATGATCAATACTCGTATGCTATATATCCGCTACCTACAAGGCTATAACCCTGTTTACAGGTAAGCCATATCTATATAACATAGCATTAACCCATATGACGCACAGCCGTGTTACCTTAACGTAATTTCCTCCTATTGTCCGGAAATGCACGTATTACAAACAATGCTGCTATTATCATCACCGTCATCGCCGTCATCATCAACATCACGGAGTGTTCAATATAATATGTTTGAATTGAAAAGTTTTATAGAGAGCCGTTCTCGATATAGTTCTCTGATCTCAGCTAAGAACTACTATGTGTTAAGCACTACATAGCATTATAGTAAAACGTTTGATTCGCTTGTGCGGAGGAAATCGACGACAATACTGATTACGTCAAAGTCTTGATTTTAGCTTGGAGTTGGAGGTCAGCGGAACTATGCGAGAAAATCGAAAAAAGTTCAAATGATATATATATTTTTTTTTTACGAAGTATAGTATTTTCGACGACGTAAAAAAATAATACGAAATTCTWCTGCTAGCAGTCGAAAATGCTGCCCGGTGTCGCCGCTGGTTTATTATATACTTTTAACGAGGTAATTTTTTAATGCTTTCGCACAAAATCACGTTCTCCGCATCTTTTCTATAAAGATCGAGCGTGTTTCTCCACCGTGTCACAAATCATATACCTATACCAACTCTTTTTGTTGAGCTAACACCGTTTCTTTATATGGTATATAAAAAGATACTGTGTGCRACTTATATGCAGCATATACACGTATATTAGGGTCTTTACTATATTATACATAATACTTTATACCTGCGGGAGCAACCGTATAGTATCGTATAGTACCGTTATAGTGTTCTTGTCAACGTCTGCGGTGCTGCAGGAAACCAAACGTCGAATGAAGAGTGGAATGGCGTCGTAAGCGGTGTGGCGGTGCTGGCACACATGAACTCGGAGGGAGGGGGTATAAAAGGTTTTGTCAAAGGCCGTCTCCTCATAATACGGAGTATTTGTGACGATATAGTGAATAATATTCGTATAAACGTTTTCACTACATCTGTGCAGCGTACACACCGATTATATATATCATATATATATAGATACATACATAAACACACACACACACACACA